TCCGCCTCGGCCTCGCTGCTGCCGGACGCCTTTGCCTTGACGGCCTTTGAGCGCGAGCCGCAGGCCCTTCGCCGTCCGCCCGCGCCCCTGGGGCCCGGGATGCCCGCCGCTCCCCAAGCGCCCCAAGGCGGTGCCTTGCAGCCGAGTCCCCGGCCGCGCCTGCCAGCGCCCCTCGGGCCCTTGCGCTCAGGCCTGAGCGCCTCGTGGGGCGAGCCTGGTGGCCTGCGCATGGTCGGTGGCGGGGGCAGTGGCAGCACCAGCAGCTTCCTGAGCTCTCCCTCCGAGTCCTCGGGCTACGTCACGTTGCACTCGGACTCGCTGGGCTCAGCGTATTAGAGCCCACTGGCCTCCCACCCTCTGGAGGAGGGCAGGCCAGGCCCTTCTGAGGGGCCCAAGACCAAAGATCCCGCCCACCAGCCCAAGGAGGGAAGCTTCGGAGCTCAGGCCTGGCACCTCCATGCGGGACTGAAAGGCCGAGGCCCACCACCAAGCATGGGCTGCACACCCAGCCATGCCCACCCAGCCCTGTGGCACCTGAGTAGGGGTCGGGGTGGGGGTGCTGAGGCAGGGAGGCCATTGAAAGGAAGAAAGCCCAGCCTGGGGGAGGGGAAGCTGAAGTCAGTGAGCAGCACATAGGCGTACCGTCACTGTTATTGTCACACCTTGGGTAGGTGCCAGGTCTCTAAGCAAGGGGTCTTCAGAGCCCAAAACAGCTGTCCTTTCTTCAGAGTTGCTCTGTCTCAGTTTCCCCACCTGATAAGCAGGTGATTCTTGTTATCTCTCAGGGCTATTTGGAACATCTTCTCCAGTGTTCCCTGGCCTCAGAGAGGACTGTGGCGGGACTCCCAGGCCTGAGGCCCCCTGGGGAGCTTACACTACCCCGGCCCCACTCCAGCTAAGTAAGCACAACACTGTTGTACATCATTGGCACCTGGCCACCTTGATCACATTAGTGTCTCATCCTTCATCACATGCCATCATTGCCTGTCCCCACCTGCCAGCCACCTCCCATGAAGACTGCGGGCATGTCGGAAAGGCTGGATGCCAAAGGGAAGTGGGGCTCCCATCTCCAGCCTCATCACTGGTCTGTGCAAGTGGGCATCACCCACCAGTCTTTCTGCGCCCTCCTGAATAGCCCCTGGCCCTTCACAGGCCGGGCTTTTTGCCCTGGAGCCCAGGGAGAGGCCTGCTGAGTCTTCCAGGCCTTCCTAAACACGACAACCTGGAGGAAGCTCATTGCAGCACTGCCTCTGCCCACAGGTGGCCACACCCATGTCCTCGCCCGCTTCCATCCTTGAGGTTACTGGGCGTGGGGCTTCTATGTAGACCTAGAAGGCCTCTCCAGTCCCTGGGTGCAGGGTCACTGGAAGAGGAGCTGACCACCGTGAGCAAGGCAGGGAGGGACTGCCTCTGGCCAATGCTGCTGTGCCTTCACGGACCTACACTTCATGTGGGGACAGGGACTAGCCATGGTCCTCACCCTCAGACTGGCCCAGGTGTCATCTTGAGGGACACGCTGTATCATACCCAATGGCAATACTTGTAGGAAGCGTGGCTCCCACAGGCCAGTCTTGATTTTTACACACAAAAAGGGGAAGACCCTGAGTCTGGGGGGCTGCCACCACTCTGCCCAGCTTCTAGACTTGTTGGCTATGTTTCTAAAGAGCTTGATCCTGAGCCCCTAGGGAGGGAGTCTGGGGACACCATTGTCCTGCCCAGAGCCAGGGATCCCTTTGTAGACAACGACCCCCCCCCCCCCCATAAAAGACAATTTCTCTTCTGTACAGGACTCAATAAAACTCCCTGATAATTTGCACTTGGCAGCCCAGGCATGTCATGGAGCTAGCAGCCACCATTGCTGGCCAACTGCCTTCAGATCTCTCTCCCTGTGCCGCCTGACATTCCTCCAAGAGTGCTTTCTTTTTATTTTGGCGGGGTGGGGAGGTTAAGGCAAGTGCTCCAACCTCACCCAGCAACAAGATGGAGATATGGGGATCAAGAAGGGCCCTGTTAGCACAGGCGACAGTCACGCCCTTACCCTTGGAACGACTTCAGGGGCTACCAGGCCCTGTGAGGTTAATGCAGCAGAGTGACCTGCGCTGGGCTTGAAGACCCCGCCCCTTTCGCTCCGTGAGCATTTGGAAGCCGCGCTCTGGGCCCGCAGTGCATGGCCGCCACCTGGTGGCCAGTAGGAGGATTAGTCCCAGTCGTTCCTACCTGGCGTAGCGGGAATCCCAGACCTGGGAGACCGCCAGCGCGGCGAGCCTCGCCCCTGGCCCAGCGCTTCGTGAAGCCGTTGGGTGTGTGCGTGAGCAGACCAGCAAGTTGGATCAAGAGGCGTTTTAACGGACCCGCGAGTCACGAGACAGCCCCCACAGAAAAACTGGCTGTAAGAAACTGATTTGTGGTTCAAAAAGAGACTGGGGAGTAAGAGACACCGTGGGAGAAATTAGAATCTCTTGGGTATCTTCATACCCAGGCTAGAGAGTCGCACTCTTTATTCTGAATTAATCATGGGAAGAGGTCCGGAGATCTGTGCAAGGTGTGGCGTCTCGAAGCCCTCAGTGACCTCGTTTACGAACGAGTTAAAAACTAAGGCGCCGAGCAGCTCCGAGGTCCTCGAAGGTGGGAAGCTTTTAGGCACCCGGACACCGCCCCCCACCTTCGGCTCGCGTTTGCGATCCTGCTGCCAGGCGCGCGAACCCCATCCCTCCCGGGAACCTCAAAGGGCGGGGCTTCCAGGAGGGCGGAGCCTAGAGAGCCGGACCCCCCCCTGGGCCCGGCCGCGTGCAGAGGGGGTGGGAGTCGGTGGTAGCCCTGCGGGGTCCTAGGTGGGGGTGGGAGGGGTGAGGATCCCTCGCCGGCAAGGCGGGGCCCAGCGCGCTTTGTGCCGGTGGGAACCGGGCGCCCGCAGGCGGCTGAATGGGCCGGGGCGGGGCAGCAATTCTCCTCGCTGCTAGGGGTCCGCTCTGCGCCGCGGCCGACCGCGACCTTCCCACTGAGGCACGGCTGCGGGGCGGGGCCGGGCCCATGGGAAAGGGGCGCGACCCAGGGCTTCCCCCCCCCATCCTTCTTAGACCGTGGAAGGTGGACGGGCGGGCCAGACCGGTGCGCGTGGGGCTGGAGGAGGTGCCCACGACAGCCCCTGCTGCCTCAAGTCCGACGGGGCCCAGTTCAGTCCGAGGCCGCTCGGCCTTCCCGCGCTCCCCCCGCCTGGGCCTCACCAGGGCCGCCACACGCGCAGCTCCGGGCCCGGACTCTCGGGGCTGCGGCGCAAGGCTATCTGCGGCGCCGGTACGCCGGTCGGTGCGTTGGAAGGGCCACCGGAGAGGAGCAGCCGGGGCGGCAGTGGCAGCCCAGACGGAGTGGGCGCAGGGGCGGCACAGCGCGGGCGCCTCTGGGCAGGAGCCGTGCGTGACGCTGTCCGTGGTGCTGTTGCCCGCGCGCTCGGGTACCTGGGGGCAGCGCAGGCCGCCGCCCCCCTCCCCGCACCGCAGCAGCCGGCTCACGCCTGACAGGCCTCCGTGGAAGACCGACGGGAACTCGGTCCCGCCCGGGCCCGGCCAGAGCCCTGGAGGAGGGGAGAGGCGTGGCGAGGAAGAAGACAGGGGGGCGGAAATGGGGAGGAGAAGGGGCGAGGAAAAAAAACGGGAGGAGAGGTGAGTTGACCCCCACGCCTCCCGGGGGTTCCAGACCTCCGCCCGTCTTTCCCGTCCCCCCGCAGCCCGCAATCGCTGGCGTCCTCTTCGCCCCCAGCCGCGCCCCCGCCCCCGCTCTCCACCCAGGCCCCGCCGTCGGGCCGGGTCACACATCCCTCGCAGGCGCCCCATCTGCTCACTGTACACTGAGCTCTGCAGGCTTTCCAGGTACTTGACGCTAAGCTCCAAGATATCGGCCTTCTCCAGTTTGCGCTTCCGGATCTGCCGACCGTTGGGAAGAGGCTCTTAATTGGGCAGCCCTGGAGGGATGAGGTTGGGGGTCTTGGTCACCCCTCCCCGCACCCCCAGGTCTCACCTGATGTGAATAGTGTTTCTCTAGCAGGGACTTGAGCTGCTCCAGCGACAGGTTGATGCGGGCCCGCCTTTTCTTCTCCATCAGCGGCTTGGAGATCTGTGGGCATACGACCCCTCAGAGTGTAAGACGTCTGTCCTGGGCCCCAGGGCTCTGCCCAGTCTCCACCTCACCACTTCACCCACCCCTTTGTCCCTCCGGACCCCAGACCTTTCGAAAGCTGCCAGCAGGGCTGGCCCGGCTCTTGGGCTCCGTGCCCATATTGGCGACTCTTTGCCCCCAGAGGCACCGCCGCTTTTATAGGGGCGCCTCGTTTACATGTCAATGAGGCTCTAAAGATCCAAGGAACCACGAGGAGGAGAAGGAGGAGGAGACAAGAGGGAACAGGCTGGAGACTCTCCACCCCCTTCCCATAAGCCCTTTACATACCCCTTTCGCTCACCTGGGGAAGCCCTGCCCCCTGCCCAAGAACCCCTCTAAATTTCTTTGATTTCCAGCATTTCTCAAGCCTAGGGTTCCCTCCCCTTCCCGTCTTCTCCACATCTTAACCTGTTCTATTGGCCCCTCTCATTGGCCCCCTGGGCTTCCCGCTCACTGGGATTCCTCCCCTGAGGCAAAGGGGTCGGCCTGGGGGAGGTCCGGGAACCATGACAGGCTGAGCTGCCGTAATGGTTGTGGCCGAGCGCCCTTCTCTCTCCTCCGGCCTGATGAGGATGCTGAGGCAGGCGGCATCGCCAGCGAGGCCTTTCTGGGCGCTTCACGCTCTGGCCGCGCCCGCGACGCCGCATTAGCCGCCCTAATGTCGGGACAATGCAGCGATTTTCTGCCTGTGGTCGCTCAAAGCCAGGCACAGGCCGTGCCCACAGGGGCCACGCAGCGACATGTGTCCCATTAAAGCGTGCAGCCCGCCCGCGGGGCCACAGTTGGCCTCCTCCTCACTCGAGGCCCAGGAGCTTGGAGTTTGGGACCTCCCTGCAGGCCGGGTGGCGTCCTCACCTTGGGACATGCTCCAGGATCCATCGGAATGGGGTATTGGAGGGCCGCTGCAGACAGGAGTGGTTAGAATGGCCTGGCCTCCTAACCAAATAAAACTCACTGCCATGGATTCAATGCTGACTCATAGCGACTCCCTGTGGGTTTCTGAGACTGCCACTGTTTACCAAACCAAATACCTTATGTAGTGAGGCCTGGCAACCAGTGTTCGGACGATGACCCTTCGCCTTGAGCAGGCCTCAAGACTTGCCCATGGTGGGAGCCTTCCTGGGTCTCCAGGAGCAGCAAGGACAAAATATCCACGGCTTGTCTGGGGAGATAGCTGGGGAGAG